TTAAAGCCAGGTCTTAATTTTTCAGCATCAAAACCTTTCTATTTCATTTAGTTCTGAGTCTCGGTTCATTTCTGGAAGCAGAAGCTGCATAATGGAGCCGAGCGAAAGAGAGGAAAAAAACAGCTGATTTGATTAAGGGACTCCTCTCCTTCGGTCTTCCTAAAGACTAAAAAAAAAAAAAAATCCACTAAGTTCTGATAGCACTAAATGTTCGCATGACTCAAGCGAGCAGAGGTTGTGCATTTGTCCGTAGCTGTGTCTGTGCAACGCGTGCAAGGTGCGCACGGCGCCACAACTCAAACTCCGATATCTAACCTTCATGATTCAGTAATTTAGCAGCTTTAGATACACTCCACATCAAGCTGTCAGTCAAGCCCTGGCGGCTGTGTGTTTCCTGACCTCGCTGAGCTCGTCTCAACATCTGGCCTCTAACCACAACTGTCACGTCTCGCGCACCAGGCAATATGTCTGAGTCCGTCTGAAATAACGCCCAGAAAAAGACGGAGGGGAGCCGGCTACTCGCTGTCAAAGACCGCAGACGTTTACCATTAAATATCTGATGTCAAAGCGAGGAGCCAATTTGATATTTGCACATTGTAGAGTACCACAATTTGAAACACAATTCAGTTGGCAAGTCCACATTACGGCACAACGCATTTAATGAATTTAAATACAAGCATCAGAAGGTGTATTTTATGTAATGAATCAACATAAAATGTTTGAAGAATTGGTAGAAGAAAATTGCTTGAGCTTTGGCATTTACGGCCTTTGACTCAAAAACGACACTGACAGTCGGTAATCAGAGTATATACTGATTATGCCTGGTATAAAACGGCCTCAAAGACTAACATATTTAAGAAAAGACCCAACCAACCAATCAGCATGATGGACAAATCAAGACCAAGGTTGACTTCGTAAGATAATCTGCCGATCCTTCAAGGCACTCTCTGAATGAATATGAGACTTTGGCAAATGTCATAACAGAACTAACCTTGATACAAGAAAATGTCATTTATTAGAGAGGCAGAAATAAATACACCAACGATGCTTCAAAATATTGAAATGGACAAAAGAGACGGTCAGATTTCTGTCTCTAGGTTGATGAGACGACTTGTATCGTTTCTTTATGGAAAATCAGCAAAACTTCAATTTCAACAAACGCAGAAGGAGGTGATGTAAGTTAAATAAGACTAAAGGTCCATCCAGACCTGCTTTGTTTAAGCTCTAGTTTGTTTGAAGAGAAAATCTGGTTCATTTGGGAAGGTGAGAATACGTAATCAAACTCTGATATGGACCAAAAAAGTGAACTCTGCTCTACCTAAAACCCTAAGAACCAGTTTCGTTAAAGGAGATACTGTCCCAGTTCAATGTCAGCAACGTGAACTGCAGCGCAGGGCATTCTGGATAAATGCAACCAAAACAAATGCACAGCTCTAGAGATAGTTGGGAGAAATGGCTTGTGGTCTTTTTCCAAAAACAAAAGAGAAATCCTTTAAAAATCTCAAATCTGATGCTTCTCCATTTTTATTTACATTTTGTGAAGAAGGAAATATGATACAGTTTTCTGATGTCTTCTTCAGAGGCTTTGATGCCATTTTCTTTAATAGTTCTTGGTGCAGCGCCACCACAGGCCACTGGGTGAACAGCTTTTTCAATAGTTTGGATGGTTCCACTGTTCAGTGAGAAAGCAAAAAAACACCAGCTGAAAACACCAGCAATTTTGGTTCCCAATCGAACTCAGTCCACTGGACTATCAGCTATGAGATCATTTCAGCATCACACTGCATTGTTTTTTCCAGTGGAGCCAGGAATTTAGTCAGATATTTACAGAGACAACTACAGACTTTCTGATGTGTATGCAGATGCGTTATGCATGCCCCAAACCCTGCCAAGGGTTTTCAATGCACAAGTTTAAAAGTATGACTTACAAGGCTTCATGACTCACAAATAAAAAATAAAACAAAATCTCTCAAAGGGACGCACTCTTGGGGATATATGGAGTAGATATATGCAGATCTATTCAGTGCCTCAAGGAAAAAAACAGCATTTACACATCTAACTGCATGCTGCATGTAGAATTCACTTCTAATAACTTCACATTTTCAAAGCCGCTGGCACTTATATGACAATTGTTTGAAATTTGACCAATTGTGATCAAAAGTCAATTTCTCTAAATGTTTCTACTCTCAAATAACAGACTCTATCACTTATTAAAAAACTAAAAAAGTTCATTCAAATGTGACTAAATAAGAAGATTGCTCTTTGTGGTAGGACAAAAAAAAAATTCACGAGACTAGCCAACCCCCTGTTGTGCTTTTTGCAACATTGAAAAGTGAACTAAGTATGATACTGGTTTCTTCTGTAATAAGAATAAATGCCACTTTATTCATTTTTAGTTCAACAAAGTTCAAAATTCTGTGCACTCAGAAGAAAGTACAGAACATTGTTAAGAAGCATTGGTTGTTGAAATTCTAGAAGCAATATATATATATATATATATATATATATATATATATAATATATATATATATATATATATATATATATATATATATATATGAATATCATGGATTGCAAATAAACGCCGCCTCAAATTAAGTCAAGAAAGTTCCAACCAATCGGCTGGACAAAAGCTGAACAATCCACCAATTCGATTTCAGCTGCTGAATATCACCCGTGTGTCGGATCTATAAATACAAACCCAACCTTTGCTGCACACAGGAGACGTGTGTCAGTTTAAAAGATGAAGACCTGTCAAAGAGCCTCGACGCAGGTTAATCATGGAATAACTCGGGAGGCAGACCGAAGACGTGGAGGGAAAATATCCCGACATTTTCTCGCAGCGAGACGAGACAGACGCGTCGGAGATCTGAGAGCGCCGAGCTTCAGCTGTGAAAGCTCAGCGCGTTGGCAGCCGCTCCGCCCACATCCCCAAAACTTTTCCACTTCCCTCATTTGACATCTACTCTGCAGGCAGAGACAGATGCCCTTGAAGCTTCAATAGGACATGAAAAAAATAAATAAAAATTTTTCACAGCAACCCCTGCTTGTAGTTGATCAGAACATCAATTTGAAAAGCCAGTGGTGTAAATAAACATAGCTGTGTAAAACCAAGAAATAACTTAGATAAATTTAGTAACAGAACAAAGAAAGGAGAGGAAAGATGGGGCTCAGAAGGAGGTAAAGTGTCAGGACCAAAACTTATTGATCTGGAGTCTTAATTAACCGTCGGATGCCTCTGACTCAGTGTCTGATCTTCCATGATCAGTGGCAGAGTGGCATCGCTCCGGGGGGAGCAGGCAGAGAGTGGACGGAAACGAAACAGGAGAGTGGGCGGGCGAAGGGCAGAAGGACAACACAACATAAAAAAACCACTACAAGTTCACTCAAATTGCTTTTAAGCAAATGTTCGACTTGAACAAAACCTGAAAAGAGAACCAGCCCCGTTTAGCAATTTCTCAAGAACCTCCTGAAATCCCAAGCAGGGAGGAGGGGATAGCCTCTTGCCACGCTCTGTCATCCCTCGCACTGATGCAATCACCTTCAGCCTCTGAACGTGGATATGTGAACGGTTCTGTCAACGTTGAGATGACAGCGGTGACTGCTTGAGGATTGAATTGCCAATTCTAATCTACCTAAGAAGCCAAGATCTTGGCCCGCTGATTTAATTCGGGCCAGAATTGGAATTGACCCAAATGAAACCGGTGGAGTGGAGTGAAGGTAGGGGGGATTGGGGCTGACGTTAATCCCTGGAGGTTGGGGACGGGGTGGGGGTGGTTGAACAGCGAAATTGTGCTTTGTGGAATGTGAAGAGGAGAGATCAGGCTTTGAGGACGATGTCGCTCGAGACCTGGAAGGATGGAGGTGGAATGCGCATTTTATGAGCGCAGTTATTAATGTCAGGCAACGTGTTGACGAGGTTAGCTGCTCAAGTACATATTCTATCGATCTAAAAACAAAATCCGTACTCAGTGCTTCCCATAGGCTACAATTAGACTTTTTGGACACAAAAGAACGACCAAAAAAACTCTTTAATGTCAAAGTGAAAACTAATACCAATAAAGAAAAACAATGACAAATCAAAATATTTAACATAAAATATGTGTTTGTATTGATATTCACCACCTTTAAAGGGAAAGTATTAGGTAAAAAGGACCTTTTTGAGCTTGACATCATGTTATGTTAGTCCTTTGTCAATCACATACCTGGAGTGTTGCTTTGATTCTTTTATGCATATTTGAGAAATCTTTTAATCTCCCCTGGCAACCATTCAGTTTTGCAAAACTCCTGGGTGGATCAAGCCCCGCCTTAGAGAAGCACCTCCTTCTCAGAGCTGCAGTTTCCGGGCTTCTGACTCCCCCAATCAGCTCCTTCAGACTAGCCAGCTATAATTAGCAAACACCTGGTGGAACTGTCCATCTGCTGAGCTCATTGAACAAGCTACTTCTGGTAAAACGTTTTTACGCTGATAAAAACATGAAAGGTTTAATAGAGGAGCCATGTTATGATGACTTACTGGAGGAGGAGCTCAGGAAAGAGCAGGAGTTTTTAAAGAGACAGCAATTTCAGGGCATTAAGAAGTCAAAATTTCTTTGAAGTCCTATTTGATATATATACACAATTTTTATAACTAAAGGTTACTTGATTATACTTTTAATTGCTGTAAGTGGCTGGAAAATATATAATACTGCCTCTTTAAAATGATTGACCTAATTCAACATAGGTCTAGTCCAATTAGTGCTAGTAGTCTCACACTGAGTGCAATGCAGATCAACACAGTGCAGTGCTGAAGCTGCTGAATTCTGACTTGAAGAGGGTGAATATTTAAGCAGTCATTCATTTTATGTTGAGTATTTTGATTCACTTGTCATTGTTTTGCAGAAATCAGATTTCACTTCACTTTTTTTTTTACTCATGGTTGATTAAAACGGGCTGTGAGAACTCTTTATAGGCACTGTATATATGAAGGTGAATAGGTTTAACAACCAATGAAAACTCACCATTGCGTGCAAGTATGTTAGTGCGTGATGCAGGCATGTTGTCCGAGCAGTCAATCGTTTCGTAGAGTGACTGAGAGAGTTGATCTTCGTTGTCGTCCAAAGGCGCATTCACATGAAGCTCCAACATTCCTGAGCTGTCCTATCAATGGACAGACAAGAGCGCATGTTATTCGAAAATCTCATAACTAATAACTGGACTTAGCTGGTGTCTTGAAACACCGCAACATTCAGCAAACAAAAAAAAAAAAAGAAAAATCAAAAATCACACCCCTTTAAGCATTTCAAACTTTTTTATGTTCCCACCAGAAGTTTTAATGCATTTTATTGGAATTAATTTTTTTCTAAAAACAAAACATAATTTCTAAATGTAAAAAAATATATAAATGGAAAACTATAAAAATCTGAAAAGTGTGGCATGCATTTGTATTCAGGCCATTTTATTGTGAAGACTCTGAATAAAAAGTAATAAAACAATTGCCTCTTATATTCTACATATGTCACAATTTCATTTCAGTACAATTACAGCTGCTAAATTGCTTGACATGGTTTTCTGGTTTGCATTTGTAATAAAACATCTGTGTTCCCATCCTCCCACTTCAAAATTATGCACCACACTGTGATGGTTGTCACAGTGTATGAAAACCTGCACAGCATTGTGTGTAAGTTAATTTAGAATGATATTTCTCTGCTAAGAGATGCTTGTGTTCTAACAGAAATGGTGTAGCTTTGTCCCAAGTGCTTTTGCTAATCTATAATCTGTAAAACAAAAATGAAAAGTCAAAAGTCAACCTGTAAAACCTAAATTACAAAATGACACTTTAGAACATGCTAAACAGAGTTTTAACTGAACAACAATATAAGCAAAGTGTATCAAAATGGACTGTATTCACACAAAAGGACAGAAAAACTCAAATGTCACATGGTTCTAAAGTTGTGTCATCAATATTCAGGAACGACGGAACCAAGGCCTGAGAGTATCCATCTCAGCTTAGCTCAGTATTTTCCGGTTCAGCAGTGTGAAACAGGTCCAGCAGGGAGTCCAAGCTGGTTAAAGCTCCATGGATTTCCCACAGGCCAGCAGACAGCTGTCGCTAACAATGAGCTTGAGTAGAGGGACCGGTGACATTTGCCATGTGGTCGATGTTCTGCACTGCTGGTCTCTGAGCCCACCGCACACTTATTCCATGAGCCACTCCTTGTACGGGGACATGTCTGGTTTGGACACCACTGTTGAGCAAATGTTGAGCCTTAACTGACAATAGTTTATCAACCATTTAATTTCAGGATATATCTCAGGAGTTGCAAATGTGCAAAATGGGTCCAAGGTGCATTCATACCAGTCCTGTTTAGTCGGCTTTTATCAAACTATAGTTTGTTTAACTAGAAAGTTCGGTTTGTTTCATAATCAAACTTTGATGAGGACTAATAAAGAAAACTCTGGTTTCAGTTCAGCTGAAGTGAACTCTGATGCGACTTGAATGCCAAGACGATCAGAGACCGATCCAAGAGTTGGCAGTGGACTGTAGCACAGGGCATTCTGGGTAACTACAACCAAAACTAACATGCGAGTCAGGCGCTAGCAGGACAATGGCGCATTGTCTTTTGCCTAAGACATAAAAGCAATCCTACATCAGCTGAAATCTCACCCTACTCCATTTTTGCTTACAGCTTTTTGAAGAAGAAAGTTGTGCTGAGGTCTTTATCTGAAATTTTGTGCCACGTCCTTGAGCAGTTCTTGGTGCAGCGCCACCACAGGCGAGGGCAGGGGTGACACCAAAAGGTTTGGGTTGCTTGATGCAGAGCAGCTAAAAATGTGACAAATGTAGCAATTCTGGTCCCCAAACAAACCCACTGAAAACACCTTTCATTCCTTATAACCTGTTTGTTTATCGCACTTCTGCATCATAAGCTTAAATCCACAACATCCTCATTAGTATTGCACAGGCACAACATTCTGTTAGGTTCATCACAAAGAAGAAAGAGCCAACATTCTGGAATAGTGTGTAAAATGGAGGAAAATGAAGACTTTTGCGTAAAAAGAGAAGAAGGACCCGTGTGGGTGTTGGAGCCGATGCCCCAGAGCAGCGAGGGTGCTGCCACGCGGTCTCGATGTGCGCGCAATATGCCGGGCTATGAGGTCAGGGGTACTTATTGGCTGTTTAATATAAATAAGAGGTTTAATGTGGTTGAAAGCACAAAATCTTATCAGAACAGCGTGTTGATAAGAGCGAGACGGGAGAGGAGCGGTGCCTGTGCACGGCTGGGTCAACACAATTACAATCAGAGTCATGGCTGCAGCCAGCCTTTTAATGAAAACCATCTCCCAGGAAAAATTAGACTCAGTAAGGTTCAGACTGCTGAAATGAAGACTTGTTTAACTTACGTTCTCACTTTTGCTTGACTGCTGCCTGCAGTTTTTTAATAGGCACTGAACTTTGACTGTGTGAAGGAGAGATGTCGGGGTTTGGGTGTTTTCTTGTTTAAGTCTGAAATTATATAAAGTGCAATAGTGTTTGTATCTCGTTGACCTTTTCACATTTCAGAGTGTTACAACCAAAAAGCAGAAAAGATGCATAACTTTCTGTGAAGAAAAATATGTAGTGCATATGTGTTGCACTCCCTTTACTGTAGTATCCTTGCAAAAAAAAATTTACCATACGCAACTTTTCAAATGAACCGTTTAGCCAACACATGCAATGCTGTGTGTGGTGAGAAACTTACACTGAACTTTATTTTAAAATGAGATGATGTTTATATCATATACAATCCTAATAATCCATTACTCTTTCCAATTTTGATGATAGTTCAGTGACATTGGGACCTGACTGATTATGACTGATTACACAAGTCAGACCCTTGAATCTGGAACCACACAGAAGAAGAAGAGGAAGAAAAACCCAGGAATGAAGAAAACATCGTCTTGGAATGAGAGAACGGCCAAGAAAAATCAGAGTGCTGCTTTGGCAATACTTGCAAGTCAGTGCAGAGAAAAGAGTAGAAAGTTTAAAGATTCTACTTTTTTAAATTTATTTTTATTTCCCACTTCTATGTTGGCGCATGCACAATATGAGATGTTCAAGAATGAGTTATCCTAGAAGACTGAAAATGCTAACTTTCATTTGTAAACAGTTTGAAAAACCATTTTTATTCCATTCATTTTATTTTATTTTTTCACCAATATGTGATACTTATTGGTCAATTCAAAAATCATTGCAGACTGTATGCTATACGTACAATGAAAAAACGAACAAGACATACTTTTAAAAATTCCTTGTATCAATTTGCACTAATATTTTTTAAGTACATTTATATACTATGAATTCAAGTTTTTCTTACATAATTATATGCAGTTAATAATAAAAGCAAAAATATAGATACTTTTGGTACATTATACTCGGTTCATCTAAATCTTGCTACACGTATTTCATCAAAATATGTAAAATTTACATATTTTTTCTAACAAAAGACAGATTACATAAAAATATTACAAATATTTTACATTTTTCACAATATTTATATATAGATAGATAGATAGATAGATACAATATGTGTATATACATAGAGACAGTGTGCATGCTGAACTGTGAGTTTTCTGTAAAAAAATAAAAGATAAAATATAACTCTGCTGCCACCAAATATCCAACTGTAAGCCTGGTGATTCTCCGGGACTTATCTTTTCAAGCAGCATGCTGGTTTAGCTGAAGCAGTTGGTTCTTGAAATAAAAACACGGTAAGAGTATTTTATGTGCAAACTTCAAATCTAATAGAAATGAGTGAAATAAATAGAAGAGGGAAAAAAAACACTCTGCTTGGTAGTATCAAAGTGTTTTCAATTCCGCCCAACAAAATAACTTGATTAAGGAGCTTTGGTCGACAATTAGACTTGTTTTCGAGTGATATTTTCATCTATTCTCACCACAGCTTCACTTTATGCATTTAAACCATCTCAATCTAGTCATTTTCTGTGGATTACCCCGCTGATTGAGGGCAAGGACGGAGCAGTGCGACTCAGAAAGACTCCAAAATGTCTCGTTATCCAAGTATTTTTATTCATCAGCGTGAAAGAGTGTAAATGTCTTGTGCACGTTTCACTGCACTGAGAAGTTATTTGTGGTGAACGCAGCATCATATACACGTGTTGTTTGGGGTCAGCGTCTACCTGACCTTGAGTAATCAGCGAGGATGAAGAGGCAGTGTGTTAAAAGGTTCGGTCTTAAGCTTTCAAGCACTACTGATAATGTCTCCTCCGTGGTCATTTCCGAACCCTCTATCCTGGTCTCAGTCGGTTGCCATAACCCTAATCCAGTCTATCTCCGCCATAATGCAGTAATTACATTCTCTAAGCTGCTGCATTCCACCCAGGGCACAACTCTCCTCTCCTCTTCCGGCTCGATGCTGAGGCTTTCATTAGCCAAACACATCCAGACAGAGCCTCCCCTAATGCCGACGCTTCCATAAGTGAGATTGCGTGGTCTTTCTGGAGTTCCACGCAAGACTTCAATTTCACCAAACCACAACAGAAATAGGAAGGGCAAACCAGAGCAACGCGTCAACGTCCACGAATGGCTTTGGTTGAAACGTTTTGCGAATCTCTATGTGTGGTTCTTGAAGTCTGGAAATAATTTCTACGCCTGGCTAAACTGAAAGCTGATAAGCTGGGTATAATTCAGTAACTTGAAGCAAGTGTGTTTAGGTAGAGACACACAACACCATGTAGAGACGCTCGTTCACTACTTGGCTTTTAATTCGACACAACACCACCAACGTGGCGTGGAATTGTGAAGTGAAATGAAAGACGTAAATGGTCTTGTTTTCCCTTATTTCCACAATGAGCAATAAAAACAAAAGCCTAGTGAGAATTAGGGCTGGGCAATAAATCAATAAAATAGATCACAGTAGACATGTACTCAATGTCAAAAGATAATATCTGACCGAATATATAATAAGTTTACTGAACTCCAATCAAGAACCGCACAGCAGAGGTGCTGTGGTGGAGCAGCGGTGAAGCACAACCCACATATGGAGACGTAAGTCCTCGACCCAAACGTCACAGGTTCGAGTCCTGCATATCTTCCCCCCTCTCTCATTATCCACTTTACTGACAATTCACTATTAATTAAATAAAAGTTTAATAACATC